GGCTTAAGTTCCTGCTAATTAGCGAGCTTCTCACTCCAGTTTCTCACTTTCCTCCCCCCCCCTCTCTCTCTCGACTTTTCTCTCGTTTTGCCTCTAAATGAAAGCAGAAAACACAAATTAATTTTAACTGATTATCTAACAAAATTGATTTATGTAATGGTCCACTCGACAAAAGTATATATATATATATAACTTTAGACGCCCGTTGATTCATAACAAAAGAAATGAGTTTACTTCAAATAATGCAATTAAAACGTGTAATATTTTAATCAAGATTCTCTCGCGAATAAATCATTATATATTCAAGAAAAATTCGATTAAAAAAAATTTGATTTTTTTGACAATGTAAAATAGAATTGTAAATTAAATATTAAATATTGTAAATAAATATTAAAAACAATATTTTTGAAAAAAGATTCAGAAGATGAAAGCATGCTGAAGGGATTTTGTTTATTATAAATTAATATATAGATAAAAAAGATTTTCGTGCATATTTTTCTTCTCTATCTTTCGTGAATGTGGAAACTTGTCGGATATTAATAAAGTTCAGATTTTCCTCTTGGGAACTGTTTCTTTTCTGCCTTTTCAGATTTTTAAAAAGTTGGTATCACTATTAATTTCTTTTTTTTCTTATTTCTTTCCATTTGACACTGACGAACACGAAATAAACTCGATTTAACATAAGCGTTGGTTAGAAATAATTATAGACATATGTATTTATTTTTTTATTTATTTTGAAAATAAATTCCTGGGTAAATTGGAGGAAAGGATGCTCTGATTTCAAGCTCGGTAAATTCCATTTTCAGTAGACCTTGACATAAGCTGTTCACGTCACGGAATTCGTATCCATAAGGGATGGTTGTGGTCGTGTATCGGTGGCAATTACAGATTATGCGGCCAATTGGCACGAAACCGGTAACTATACATATATATAGTGAACGACAAATGGTGAATCGAACTCATGAAAAGGGTCATATATATATTCACGCGATCGATTTTCAAATTTCTATTCTCTTCCATTTCTCTACTCAATTTGATAACAACAACAAAAAAATGTTAACAACCTTTTGTCCCACTTTTCGAGTACATTTCTAAAATTCAATTTTAAAATAACTTTTTCATTGATAATTAATTAACTATTAAGTATTTATAATAATTATTATTTATTAAAGAGAATGAGTATATTTTATTTGATTTTAGTCAAGTAACCGATTATTTGAATCAAATAAATTTTGTTTTCACTGTATAATGAATTTTATCATATGCAAAGGGAAAGAGTATGAAAATATAAATTATTTAATGGTTTTCATTTCCGTGCATGGTTGTGCGCGCCTTAAATGCGTTAATGGTTGTTTGGTGTAGGGTCATGAAACTTATATGAAGCATTGTCTCAGGCGAGGAAAAGCCGTAAACTGAAATTATGGACCTCTGAATTTCGACTATATATATATTCAGAGAGCACAAACTGGGAAATTGTATCAAAGTCCAATTTTGAAAGAGAGACGCACACATTCAATGTATTATTTGTAATCTGAGATTTGAGAGCAGAATCCCAACGACCATTTCCGGGTGCAAAATGAAGCTTCTATATGAGCTTTAATGAAAAATTAGAAAAACGAATACGATTTCAAATTTTCAATTAACATTCCAAATAGAATTTCATTTTGTTTTATTGCAAGAATTTGTGATTTTAATATAAAGAAAAAAAGTATTTTTTCAGCAACTCTTTCATATTTATGTTTGATTTGAATAAGAACCACATTTAAGAAATATTCTATGCCGTAAATCGTTTTTCCATACATAATTTTTGCGACTAAATTACAATGCAGTGCCATTTATTTCCTGGATTTTCACGAAATGCAAATTTACTTGACTCGAGGAAATAAATAGCCAACATAATAAAATAACTATACTAGATTTATATAAACGTTTTACAATTTTTTTTCAAAATTATTTTTTTTATTTGAAAATTAAATATAGTAAATTATTATATATTACAAATTAATTTTCATAAACAATTTTTTTAAATAATGAAATAATTAGATTTTTTGAATTATTAAGTTTCATAACAATTTTTTAAGTTATATTTTTTCAAACAATTTTTGAAACTATTTTCTTTAGTAATGAGAGACAAATATGGTAATTTTATTTATTTTTTTTATGAACAAATTTCAAGATTCTCATCAAGTTTAAATGAAAAGTAGCAGTTTTTTAATAAAAAAGCCCATCCTGTTTCCCGCAACAACCGATTCAATTATCGATTTCAAAGTTTACTCGGTGGTCTAGATGCTTTTAACAACTTTACAACTCTCTATATAGCATTAAGTAATCTAAGGTTTTCTGGTTTAACTATATATAAAATACTAGTTTATTTGCAAAATGTTGAATTATATTTCATTCATTATACATATTATTTTTATTTTCTCAAATAAAATTTACGTTATATGTATTAATGACACAAATTAGCTGCAACCACAACCTTTTTTCCTTCCTTAAAAAAAAGTAATGCGTATAATTATTATTACACGTAATTACGTGTTTGTTAATGGTACTTATGTTTTCCTAATTGCCTTCATTACTAGAAGTTCAAAAATGATTTCGTTTTTCTAGAATTTTTTTCGCGACACGCAAACATAAAAAAATGAAAACAATTTAAAAAGTGTTTATGTGAGTATAAAGTGAAATAAAATTTTTAAAAAAATTTATAAAACAAAACTTTTTTTTTTAATAAATAATTAATATAATAAAAAAATGTTAATATTAAAAATGGAAGGTAAAATTGTTTACAACTTTTTCAATTGTTTTGTAACATTAAAATAACTTGATAAAAATATGAGGGGAATTTGTTAATTTTCTTTTAAATATTTGTAGTAGGTATTTTCATATTATGCCTTATCAAATATTTATAACTACTTACATCTCAGGTATAACATTCCTGATAGTAAGTATTAATTAATTATAAACGTCGTTAGAAATTTAGTAATTTGCAAAAGCTTCTTTGTAATTCAGTACTAAATTAAATTTCTTCGAAATTATTTTTAGAATAATTTAATAATTGCTCATTTTATCTCTTGCTTTTTAATTTCCATAATATTATAATACAGTTTTATTGATATTATTATTATGTTATTAACTTTCATTAATTTTCAATATTTAGAAAAACAATAACAATTTGAATAATTTATTATTTCATTTATTAATTACTTACATAAATATAATAAATATTTATATTTTTAATTTTTTTTAAAGAATTTGTCAATGAGAAAAAATTTTCAATTGTGATTTAAAATCTAAAGTGAAAGGTCCTATATTATATTTGTTTTGGGAGAAAATGGTAATTTAATTATATAATTCAGTGATTTCTATAAATAAATATTTTTTGAAAATACTTGGGAATGAGGAAGATGAAACCAAAATTAGAGAAGTATTGGTTCAGCGGTATCTTGGAGTGATTCGAGTGACCACAGTGATCCTGTTGGTGCTCCGGGAATTCTATCACGCGGTCGCATTCTCGGACTCCTATGGGAAAGTCCTCCGGTACTTGAATCAATTAAATATCTCAGTGTGCTAGAGAGAACCTGTACATTTCTCACTATCGTCTCCTGAATAACTAATTTATAATTAAAAACGATTTATATTTCAATTAAAATCTATTCTTACCTTATATTAAATTATCATCTTGGGTTATATATCAACTAAATTCTCTTTCAAATGAACCAATTTATCTTTCATATATTTTTTATGAATTAAATTATTTATACAGATATATATTATTTAAAATATATAAAATATTATTAATTAATAACAGATTTTTTTCTTTATAAAACAGTTAAAACATATACCTAATATGGTTAGTTATCAATTCAATTTTGAGAGTGGAATTAATATTAGAAGGTGAAATTGAATTTTATTTAAATTACTAACCTCGAGGCTGATGATAATGATTATACCACAGTTTATCAGCAAACCCTTTTCTTTTTCCACTTGGATATCTCAACTCTTCGCTTTTCTCCCCCCTTTTTCTTCATCCTCCTTTTCTGTCTCACGATCTTGTCCCTCTGGTTTCATAAAATACTGGAGATTTGGCATCCCCAGGCTTTTAACCCTCAACAACCCTCATAGTTATAATCTCACTAACAAATTTATATTTTATATATTATTAATTTGAAAAAATGACTTAAAATATTTACATTTTCGAAAAAAAAAATAAAATTATTTTATTCATTTTTTTTAAGTAGATTATTATTATTAAAAATGCTTAACGTCCATATTAATTAGATGGCTCATTAATTAAATGAGATCTAAAATGTTGATAATAAATTAATATAAACATATTAGTTTAATTTTTAACAAAATTTATTAAATAACTTTACTTTTTTTCCTCTCAATTAAGGCTTTGTTGGAAAAAATTTTAATTATCTCGTGCATATTTTTTTATCTTTTTTTTCCTTTTGATTTTTGTATTTTCCGTTTTTTCATTAATTGCATTTTTTATTTTTATTCCAAGCCCCTCTCTTTCTCTCTCCCTCTCTATTCTGAATTATATACCATTTCTTTTGTAATACTCATTGAAACTAGTTTTTACGAGTCATTGTACATTTTTCTCGTTTTTTATTAAAAAAAAAAAAAAAAAACGCTTTGAAAATGAGTATTTGATAACATTTGTATTCTTTACATTCTCATCATTTGAGAAGATATTATAATTGTTCTACTTTTGAATCACGTCAAACTTCAATTTTTATAAGAAATATAAACGATTTTTTTTTTTTTTTTAAGAAGAAAACCCATTGTTTTTACACATAGTTTTTGTTGGAATTTCTTTATTTTCATAAATTGTTAATAATATTAAAATTCGTTATTTAAAAACGGGACATTTTAAAACTACAATTTTCCAATTAAAACTTTAATCAAGAAAAGGGAATTGTTTGATATTAAAAGTCTGTTGCCAGTAGAATTAGCATAGAATAATAAATGAGTAATTGTTAACGAACCGAGTTTTTTTTATTTCTTTTCTGATTTTGTACAGTCTTTGAATATTTCTTTAAGCTTTTGTAATTTTTCTTCAGCTGACGATATCCACTCTAAGGCCTTATCAATTTCAACGTTTGATTTTTTTTTATCATTTTTTAAATTTAAAGATTGAATTTTTTTTATCATCTCCAACTTGCTGGATTTTATGGAATCAAAGATATCACTGAGACACTTGAGAATATCGACTAAATTGAAGACAAGAATAATTTAATTCTCGAACGAACGTTTTTACTTTTTTAAAATTTTTTTTTATCGAAACATTGTTTGATATTAACTGTTTTTTCTATAATTATCTTTTGTCATGAGTCATCTATTTTTGTTTAATTTTTTTATTTATCTATTTCTATTTTCTATATAATAAATAAATTATAAAAATATTTTTCTAAAAACAAATTGTTACCTTCGTTATTTTTATTAAAATCATTTTCACTGCATTTTTCTATAACTCGTTTTGCCTCTTGAAATAATTCTTGTAAATGTCGATCTTCTTTATTGGACTTTTTTAAAGTTTGTGTAAATTTTTCCGATGTTGTAATTTCATGTAAAACTAAATTTACTATATTTAGAGCATCTTTTTGTGCTTCACGAAGACATTCCAATTTTTCATCACGAATTATTGTATTATTTTCTTCATTTGGCAATTCTATTGAAATTGTAATCGTATTCAATGAATTTTCTTTATTTTTTTTTTGAAAATTATTTTCAATTTTCTGAGATTTTTTATCTCTTTCCTGCAAAAAAGTTTTTTTTAAATTTCCATTTCATATTCATTTAATTATACTTTTTTTTAATTCAATATTTTTATGAATTTTTTTTTTAATTATAATATAAATATAGGTAGAAGAAAAACTGACATTTGAATATTTAATGCAATTGGTGGTTTTCTCGATAATTTCAGGAAGAGTTTTTGTAACTTCAATTTGTGCATTTTTTAAGCAGAGATTCGCTGATTTTAAAACTTGATCAATAGTTTCAATTGAATTATTTGACGAATTTTTTAATTTTTCCAAAAGATTTCGATATTTCTCGTGCGCTGTTTTATTTTCAGTTTCTACGCATAATTTAATGTTATCTTTTTTATTTAAACATTCCTTAAGTGCGCGTGTTGTTAATTTTTTTAAATCACGAACATCATCTAAATTATTTTCATATTTACTTCGTACATTTTCAAGTTGAATAACAGTTTGTTCACTACAATTGCGAATTTTGTTGTTAAATTGTTTTTTAATGTTCTCAATTAATTGTGTATATTGATTGAAACACGTTTTGTTTGCTTCTAATTGAAGTTTGGAAATTTGCGCTATCTCCAAAATTGATTGCTTTGCTTGTTCAATTTCCTTATTTAGCAAATGATTATTCGCCTTTATTGAGTCGTCAATTTTTTTTGTCGCCGCAGAAAATAATTCCTCGACTTCCTTTGATTTCAAATCCAAGGCCAATGTGACTTTACGCAAAAAATCGCGAATTGATTTCGCGTATTTTGAATTTAACGCGTCCTTCTCAGATTTATGTCTCGTACTTTGGCTTGTCTGAAAAAATGAAATAATTTAAATAACCTAATTGTGGATTTGTGAAAAAAAATTAATTTAACATTCAAATAATATAAAAACCTGTATAAATTTAAATTGATTGATTTTATGTGCTCGTTGAATGTTTAAAAAGTTCCACATCCTTATTCATCTTGACATATAATTCAAGTTGAATTTTTCATCTGTACTTGTCAAAATTATTTGACAATTTCTTTTTTTATTTCAATTGAAAACGAAGTATTACGAAAGCTGGACAAGTGGCTCTGTTAAAATCACATTCGACATGTATTTTTTTTTCTTTTTTTTCGAGTACAGAAAGGCAAGAAAAATACTAGCCGAGAAAAGTTATCTTATTTCAGAAGTCTGAAGTCAGCTTCTATTACTTCTTATCTTCTTCTCTCTGAATTTGATGCTGATCACGTCTCGAATACCAAATCTACGAGTTCGACTTAACCTTTGAAAAAACGTCTATCACACAGAGTGAGAGAGAGAGAGAGAGACTTTTTTATTTTATTTTTTGTTTGTCTGTAAATAGTTGAGTGAAAATTTTTTCTTTTTCTTTTGTCGACTTGTCAGACAGATAATTAGGCTATGTATTTTATATGTCAAGTATTGTTTTAAATAAAAACATATTTTTCTCTAAAAATACCATTTTTTTGTAAGAAAAGAAATTCAAACTTGAAAGTGCATTTCCTCATTGCTTCTGGAAAATATGAATATTGTAAGACGAGCTTTTAAGTCCTAAAGCTCTTAAGTACTCTCGAGTCTAGCAGTTCTTTTAATTTTTCATCATGGTTGTAGCCTGTTTAATCATACTCAATGAAACTTTTATAACAATTTTATTACTTCTCTGAAAAATATGTGCCCCCTAAATGTTAGATTGCAAAAATTTATTTCTTTAATTTAAATAATACATGTGCTTAAAAAAAGAAATTGATTTTTTTATGTTATACCAATAAATAAATAATTAATTTCGTTATAAATGTGAAAGCATTTTTGGGTTGTTTTTAATTATTTATTATTTTTGAAAGAACAAAATAAAAAAAATTTCTCTCCATTGCAAATTTAAAAATAAAAATTTGATACCTACAAAAATATATTCTTTATTGGAAATAAAATGATTGCATTTTGATTCCACAATAAAAAAAACTGCCATTATCCTATAGTATCCAGGGAATAATTTGTAAATTTCATGTCTCGATGTGATGGGATTTATTCAGGGCTTTTTTTATATTACATTAAAGGATAAATATAAAATTGATGTGCATTAATATATAACTGAACGAAAATTTGTTTATAGAAAAAGAAATAATTAAAATATTTGTTTTAAATATTTGTGTATAAAAAAATACAATTTTTTGACAATTCATTTTTTTCTTTGACTTTTTTTGTATTTCGAAATAAAGATAAACTTTTTTTTATTGTATATTTCCTTAATTATGTTATTTTGAGATTGGGAATTTTATTAGTTGTATATGATTTTAAACAAGTTATTTATCAAATGCATCGAACATAGAGCAACTTGAAAATTTATTATTCTCTTGTGATATGATAAAAAATGTGACTTGTCCCATCTCATTTTTATTTTTCCCTTGCCTGACTCTCCAGGGATCAATAACAACATAAACTTGCTGAGTTTCATGTTTTATCCACAGCTAAAAGCTAATTTTGAAACAAACTATATCCGGTCCTGTGTAAACTCTAATAATAAAAAAAAATCCATTAAACCAAATTAATAATTTCATGATTCCTTTTATTAATACATCGAATTGTAAAAATTAAATTTTCTCCCAATATTTAGAATTGTATTATAAATTTTTTTCCATTAAATTGCAAAAAAGGGAATAAAATTTTGTTAATTAAATTGAAAAAAATGAAAGTTAAATTTTTTTTTTTGAGACAGATAAAATTTAATATATTTTACTCTTGAAAAAAAAGTTTTCAAAAAAGAAATTTCTTTTGAGGATAGCGAAAAGGTTTAAATTCAGATTTCAATGAATTCAGCTTAAAACGACAATCTTTTAGAAAATTTCCACGTCTGAGAGAGATGTGATCTATGAAGAAATCTTCTTTGATGCTTTTCTCACTACTATAAAAAAAAAGGAAAAAAAGGGACATCGAAATGCGGACGCACGAGGCTTTTGAAGTCTGATCCCTTCTTTCAATGCTACACATAGTCTAAATATATCGAGATATATTTTTATCTGAATCTATTTATCAATGGAAAATGTCTACTTTGTCTGGATTATGGAAAAATTGTTCTCTCTTTTTATTTTTTTAAAGTATTATTTTATTCTCTCTCAACATTAAAAATTCCAAAAGTCTCGATTTTATATATATATAATAAAAGGTAAAATTCCATGTAATTCCTCTCATTAATCTTATTTTAAAAAAGAAAATTCTATTTTATAAAATTTATTAAAAAAATTTTATTAACAAAAATTGAAATATTTTGTATATTTTTCTTAAAAAAAAAAAGTTTTTTCTAAAGTTGTATAAAAATTTTCTTGTGAAAAAGTATATTTTCGCTCTTCTTTTTTGCGACGAAAATTCTTAGATATGGAGATAAATGAAAGTTTGCACTCGTGCTGCATTCAATTTTGACAAAGCTTTTTTTGTCCTTTCATATCAACGTTATATAGTTGAAGAATGATCCGACTCTCTTCTGAGAGGGGGTTTCTATGGAATGTCATGTATTCGAGACTCGAATCCAATGCAAGGATGGTACCATGGCCTCAATTGGTTTCAGGTATTTTCCCTCCAATCGATCGTCTCCGATTGCAGTATTCATTCAGTACATATTATATATACGCATTTCTCGCTATCATTTTAAAAATAAATGAGTTTTGAGCATTTTATAAAGTTCTTTTCATATCTTTTTTTTCAATTGTATGCGCCTGGAAATATAATTTCAATTAACCATTTGTTTTTCCTTAGCATTATTTTTCAATCGAATGATAGAGAAAATAAAAAATAAATTATTTTATTTATTTATAGTATAGGTATAAAATAATTTTTCATTTTAGGTATATATGAATTTTCTTCTTTTGTACACGCTCATGGTCTTTTGCACTTGAGCACGCATTCTATTCGAGATAAATACATATATCTTTACATGAGTGAGATAATTTTACGTTTATCGCGGATACTTTTTTTTCCTTTTTTAGAAAAGAGAAAGAAAAATATACATTTAACCTCATTTCAGTAAACTTAAGACCAATTCGTGTTTTCTTTTCTCTTTGCACTATACAATATATAGAAGCGAGAAAACAAAAGTTAAAGTGAAACTATATGGGACGAAAGAAACAAGCAAGTGCTTTGAAATTTTCTTAGGTAATCCTTTTGAAATTTTAAACTTTTACTTATACAAAACGAAGTTGAAAATAATTTATTTTTTTAACACATTCCAAACATAATTTATATTTACTAGCAAATTATTATTATTATTGTTAATTTCTATTTTTATTTTTTTTTTGCAAAAATGTTAATATTATTAATTTTAAAAGAAAAGCTCAACAATTTGACAAATATAAATGCCACAGGCAGGAAGGGAAAAAATTTAATTTACTTCCCGTTAGTAATTTCATTTCTCCTCATAAAAAGAGAGGACTTTGGCTCAGGGTCTTAAAATAAAAAAAAATCCGTTTTTCTTCACATAATCAAAAAGATTTTTATACCGTCTTTCATTAAAAGTTGATTTTATTTGTCAATTTCTTCCTTTTTATCATCTCGAACATAATTATTGTAGAGTTATTATGAGATAATATATTGTTGTTAAAAAAGATAATAATCTCAATATAGAGATGACAAAATTTTTTTAACGATACTAAATACAATATAAAGTTGAGATTTCGTGAGAATGTTGCATCACTTGTGTATGTATGTATATGAATCGTAGTTTCTGTTTAGAGGTAGCAAGCATGGGCCATTGCGTTTTTGAGAAAAGTTAAAATTGCAAGTCGTAAACGGTACTTTATAGGTAGTATGCTTCTCCCCAAAGGCGGGAAACTCTAAAATATTGCTTCTTGTAATGCACTGCATACATCTTGTAAGGTCGTCGTCGTCGTCTAGAAAAGTTAAGGGAAGGAGAGAATAACGAAATCAAGTCGTTGGAATTATGGGAAAATTGACTTTTTTTATTCCATTTGAACTTGATGACATTTTTTGAAAAATTATCCCTCTAACATCTTCACAAAAGTCCAGATCAATCAGTAAAAAAATATTGTCTCTTAATTTAAAAGAACTTTTTAGAATTTTCGTACTTAAATTTAATTAACATAGGAATACAAAACTTGTTGTAAATAATGGATGAGAATGATGATTCTCTAAAGTTAGTTAAATCTAACTGAGGTTTACCGAACCAAATTGTCAAAAGTTGATCGTGAACAACTTGGAGAGGAGAACCTCTCTCTCTCTCTCTTTCTCTCTCTTTGGTCAATACGTCACTAGCACCGATTACTTGGGCGAATAGAAGCGTGAGATCGATTTCGAAACGGAATTTCTCAGATAGCAACTCGTGTCTGCGGTGTCAGAGAACATCCGTGGCTTATCTTGAATCGGACAAGGACCAGTTTGGAGGAAATTACATCAGTTTAATCGGAATTGCCCACTGACTAATCGAATAAATAATGAACCCCTTAAAGTCAGGGGCAGTGATTTTCTACGTGAGGTGATTGTAAAACCACATTTTTATAGTCATTCTTTAACACGTTAATATATTTTCAAAAAAGATTCATGAGAATTTAGAAAAAATAACTGATATTATTTAATATTTATTATTATTAATTTTAAAAAAATTTATGTATTACTGATTCCGTAATAATGATTCTTCAAATACAAAAGGTTGGATCTACTTAACTAAACGAGTTTAGCTTAACTCTTAATGTTTGACAATTAATATCGCAGGCAGATAGTACTGAAAACGTTGGCGTTTCCGTAAATGGAAAGTTATGAGAGTCATTAGTAACCACTGTACTTTATCATCGCTTAACAAAAGACAACGAGAAATTCCTCTCAACCTTTCATATTTATATATAGATATATATTTATGAAAAAATCGCTATATACATTTTTTCGGGATAAGAAAAACCAGTGATCAGTATTTTTTTAAAGTGAACATTAATTTTCACTGCCTGATACAAAACAAAAATACGTTTGAATTCTTGTAGTTAAGTATCAGTAGTAAAAGTGAATTTTAGTCAGACATAGTTTTTAATTCTCGTTGAAAGGTAGTCTCAGTAGTTAGCGACAGTTGTGATCAAACGAACGCAATTTTATAGTGGTAAAAGTTAGACAGTCAGCCAAAAACACCATTTCTGAAAAGCAAAAGCCCGATATAGTCAGACAAGAGTAGTAGTAAGAATTCTTGTATTTTAGAATCAGTAGTGAAAGTCAATTTTAGTCAGACATACTTTTCAATTTTTGTTAAAAGTTCTCAATAGTAAAAGCAAACAAAGTTTTAAATTCTTGTAAATATATCTCAGTAGTAAGTGGCATTTAAAGTCAGGCGAAAACTCAATATGAAACACTATCAGGAGTTTAGATCAATTCTATGTCAGGCATAACGTTTAAAATCTTTCACAGCAAATTTTAGTTGTTCTAGTGAGATAAAATATTTTAAATATTTTAAAAAACAAATCCAAATTCTTATTTTTCTCTCGTTAATTTCGAAATAAAGAAGATATGTAAAAAAGGTGTCAAAAATATCGTTTTTTTAAAAATGAAAATTGGAGTAGATGGATCTGGTAAATTATTGTGTTTGGTGAGATACAAAATTCAGTTGTACTTTCCGTTCAAAGCTGTAAGGATCGTTCAACACTTAGCTACTCAATTTGTTGCGTTAGATGAAGCTCTTCGGGCTTCTTTCTTTCTCTCTCTCTCGTACTTTATAGTATATACTATATACACAAGTCTAGATTCTAGAAACTCATGGCTATGCTTTTTACGATCAACCATCCTTGTAAGTAGCTGCATCCACGTAGCAACTCGCATTTTTTACAAATAAAAAAAATGAACTGTAACATTTTAACGATTCCCATTTTCCAGGCCAAACTTTTCTTCGAAATTGGTACATTTCATCAAAAGAAAATGATTATTATTATTTATTTAATTTGTCAGATTGTTAGAAAAATTTGGAAAAAATAGTAGTTTGAATATATTTTTCTTTTAAAGTCGTTGTCAAAGTAAACAGGAAGTTATGCCGTTGATTACCTTTCAATAAATTAATAGATACACGTAACATTGCTCAATTATGCATTCTGTATAATGATAGATGCGGTAAAGCATAATTGTTCAAGTTTTGTCACGCGTTTCATTGTTGATTACTCTCTATGAGTCCATTTATGAAGTTACATTGTTATATACATATATATGTAGCCATATACATACGTAACTATTGTATATCCCCATAGCGGTACTGCAATGCAAATTCGTTGAAATAGTTTTCAATTAAAGTTTATTTTACCCCATGGGCCAAAACTCTATTTGTAACAGCAGTAAACAAAAAATTTTTCTTAATTAAACATTAAAAAAAAATTTATTAACCTAGTTTTGTATTCAATTATTATGATAAAGGAAATTAATCATTATTCGTATATTTGAAATTGAAAATTTTAATTCGATATTTTTTTTTTGTTTCAGGTGAGTACTATAGATTTCTTGTGTCACTATTGTGTGGCAAGAACAGAAGATGCTGTCTACGGATCTGAAGAGTAGTGCATTCTCACTCTACTTTGAGATATTGTAGCTGTCTTGTTCTTAGCTATCTGTTGAACAAGATACCAAGCTACATACAAGTGTCTTATTGCGTTTCGCTTGAGAAAGCATCGTTGGGTAAGAGGAATACCTGTCTCGACACATATTGATTGCTATATTCCAATCAAGAATGCAATGAGGGAAGAGTAAATAGACCTGCAAATTGGATTTTAATCATTTCTCATTTAAAAAGACCCGCGTAGAAATGGTCAACCCAGGGAAGACCCTGGGAGAAGGTTCGAAGTAAGATGTAAAAAACCTTGGCGAAACCATAGGCTAGGGCAAATACATTCCCTGGGAGAACCCTTGCTTATGATCGTTTCCCATGGTCTGGGAAATGCCTGGCTGAAGAGCAGAAATACATTTCTTTGATTGTAATGAAATTAATGCACTTTAACCCTTGTAGAACCATGGACCAAGACAAAACAGTTTTTACCCTGGATGAATCATGGCAAAACATTTTTTGTCTTTTTTATTGAACTTTTGTCACTGTCTTTAACCCTCGGCGAACCATGGATTGAGACAAAAATGTTTTTACCCTGGATGAACCATGGCAAAACATTTTTTGTCTTTTTTATTGAATTTTTCTTACTTTAACCCTTGGCGAACCATGGATCAAGACAAAACAGTTTTTACCCTGGGTTAACCATGGCAAAACATTTTTTGTCTTTTTTATTGAATTTTTGTCACTGTCTTTAACCCTTGGCGAACCATGGATTGAGACAAAAATGTTTTTACCCTGGATGAACCATGGCAAAACATTTGTTTTCTCTTTTATTGAATTTTTGTCATTTTGACCCTTGGTGAACCATGGATTAAGACAAAACAGTTTTTACCCTGGGTTAACCATGGCAAAACATTTTTTGTCTTTTTTATTGAATTTTTGTCACTGTCTTTAACCCTTGGCGAACCATGGATTGAGACAAAAATGTTTTTACCCTGGATGAACCATGGCAAAACATTTGTTTTCTCTTTTATTGAATTTTTGTCATTTTGACCCTTGGTGAACCATGGATTAAAACAAAACAGTTTTTACCCTGGGTTAACCATGGCAAAACATTTTTTGTCTTTTTTATTGAATTTTTGTCACTGTCTTTAACCCTTGGCAAACCATGGATTGAGACAAAAATGTTTTTACCCTGGATGAACCATGGCAAAACATTTGTTTTCTTTTTTATTGAATTTTGATCATTTAACCCTTGGCGAACCATGGATCAAGGCAAACCTGTTTTATCCCAGGCTTAACCATGGCAAAATATTTTTTCGACTTCTTAATACAATTAAAGCTTTTAACCTACGGCAAATCATGGCAAGAGACGCAAACATTTTTACACTAGATGAACCTTGGCAAAACAATTTTTAGTTTCTGTAATGGACTAAATACACATATAACCGTAGTAAACCATGGCAAAACAATTTTTCCAATTTTTAATGCAATTAAAGCTTTTAGCAAGCGGTTAACCAACGAAAGAGACACAAACGTTTACAAACTGGCTGAACCATGGCAAAACAAATTTTTTGAATTTTTGATTCAATTAAAGCTTTCTACAGGCGAAAAACCAAGTCAAGAGTTACAAACGTTTTCACAATAGTTTAGTCATGGGAAAACAATTTTCAGATTCTTTAATACACGGTAACTTATACAATAACGATTTTCATTCAGATGATTTTAAAAATCGTATCGAATTATTTGAAATACCTGTCCTTATAATTATAAATTATGCGTGCGTTTAAAATGATTTCCAGACATTGTATATTATATTTTATAAATATTTTATTTGTTTAAACTTTTTTTAATTAGTTTTTAATAGAAACCTTTCGAATTTAAAAAGGATGTAAAGTAAGTGATATAAGCATTAGTAAGTATATAGTGAGTAGTATGAATGAATATTATGAATAAGACGAAGAATTAATTAATATTAATTAATTAATAAGAATATTACGAAGAATAATAAGAGTAATCAATAAATAAATATAAATGAAACAGTTTTTTTCGTTATTTATCGGTTCTTGATCTCTTGCACTTCTGTTGAGAAAGGAAAAAGTTGTTTCTTCAAAGATTATTAATTTTCGCTTGGGCTCATTACTTTTCGTTTTTTAGCCTTTGATTGGTTATCAGTTGCTGAAGGTTCCCCACTGTTTAGGGAGAAATTGTATGAGTCTTTACATGACATTATATTTTATTATTTAAAAAATCTATTCTTTGTTTTAGAGGATTATTCTTGTTTTAAGGGGAGGGACCGATGATTTCAACTTTTTGGAATTAATGTTGTTAAAGGGTGTCAATTCTTTTTCTGACATTATTTGGGATCTAAAAGTATTGTGAATTATCAAAATTTAAAAAAAATTGTTTTGACCATTTTATAAATATTATTTTTTGAAATTATTAACATTTTTAAAAATCCGTACGTTTGATTGTTCAGAATCATGAAAAAAGCCTACAAAAAAATTACACATAAAAATAATAAAGATTGTAGAAAAAATTTTTTCAGAAATTTTATTTTTCGAAAAAATTGAATTTTCTTAAAATCAATACGATTGATTGTTGAGAATCATGAAAAAAGTGTATAAAAAATCAGGAATGAAGAATAAGAAAAAAACTCGACTGTCGAATATATTGAACATCTCTCTTAAACGAAAAATTTTTTTTTCAGTGTTCAACATTTCTTAAACATTTCATTTAATTACCTAAAAATTAACTCATCATTTGCAGATTCTTTATCAACATTTTTGTCTTTATTTCTTTCAGTCTCATCGTTTCTTTCTACTGCAATTGTGTTACTTTTTTTCGGGTTCCTTAAAGTGCAACATTGATTATTTAAAGTCTCAACATATTTTTTATGCGATAGTCCTTTCGTTTTACTTTCAATATAATCTAAAATAATTTGTCGAAAAGTTAGTAAATTATTAAATTTATAATCTTTTGAATTTGAACCAGTTATAAGAGCCCATTCATTAATTAAGTAGACGATTTTGGCTAATTTTGACCCCTCTCCTGCTCCAAGTAAGGACACATGATTTTTCATACTCCCTCTCCCCATTCTTACGTAAGTTTTTAAAAATCTTATTGTAATTAAAAAATTAATTACAACAATACAAGTGGAAAATATTTAGTAAAATCTTATGTAAGCTATGTGTGAAACTCTGTAGAATAAATTAAATTATTTAAAACAATAAAAGATTTTTCTTCAAAATTTATAAATTACGATATTTCGGTTGCAAGAGCTGTTACGGTACTGATTCAGATTCAAAAGGTAATGAGAAATATTGATACACACTATATACAGCAACTCTAATTCCATCTGGAATTGACTTTCTTATCTTTCCAGATTTTGTTTGTCCAAGGGCGGTCATAGTTTTAAGCTCTTCTTTACCTACTAATTCGAGCATCAGACGTCGAACCAGTTCTTTTGGTTTTCTTTTAAATCGGGTAAATTCAATTTCTCTCGCTTTATTAATAACTAACTCGTCATTTATTATGAAAACTTTTTTTGATGTCGATGCTAAATGTTTGCTAGCTGCTATGTTTGCATGCTGTATTGAAATAAATAACATATTACTATATATATTGTAAATATATTGAAAAATAATAAGTTACATTATTAAATGATGGATATGACTGAAAAAAGTGGATGAAGTAAAACGTAGATTAAACAGAAACAATTTCATGATAGAATAAAGACTGAAAGTTTAATGACCGGGAAATTCGTAAGATAGTTAAAAGTATTTTAAGGAGAAAAAAATATGTGAATTTAGGGAGGAGTCCACACAACCGAGTAGGTAGGAGAAGGTAAAAGAGTCTAGGTATTTAAGAAATATGAAAAAAGAGAAAGTAGCAATAGATGGTGAGATTCAGAAAAAGAGAAAATTAGGTATATTGGATGGGAAGAGAAAAAAGATTGTGTAATGATGTAGGTTTGGAGAGGAAAACTTGGAACTTTTATTGGTTGAAGAGATTTAAGATGGGAGTTCCGTTTTTTGTATCAAAGATTCGGAAGCTCAGGCACTGATGAGTATATTATTATATTTTAGAGATAAAGATAAATGCGATTAGGTTAAATTTCATAGTAATTAGAATAAAGATATTATACTGTATTTACAGTATTTGTCAGTATGAATAAGTAGAAATGTATGTATTTGAATCCTCAAACCATTCAATATATATTTTAAAGGATAACGAACTTGATTTTCAGTAGACGTATTTTCACTTAATTCTCCTTCTGCATAGGCCAACCATTCACGAAGAAAGGTAACAACTTGCGGAGTTACTAAAGAAGAAATAATGTCTTTATTTAAAATACCGAAAAAAATAATAAATTTGAGATAGCGTCATTTTCTAAAAATGTTGTTCCATTAATTTGTTAGGTTAAAATTATTGTACCTTTCGGCATTTGAGGTTTGAAAACATTAGGCGTACGTTTATCTTCATTAATTATTGATTCTTGCTCTGAATTTTCCCCTTCAGAATCTTGTGAAATCTCGCTAACGTTGTCAGTATTTAAATTTTTTTTGTCATTTCTCTTTAATTTATCTCCTTAAAAATAGATTATAAATATTATTTTTCATAAATAAATGAGAACAAAGTCATATAATTTACACTACCAAGAAAGAAAATTTTTAAAATCTTTTTATGTTTCTTATAAATTTTTTTTTATAATTTAGAAAAAATTGAGATAAAATATGAGTAAGAATTTACATAAATAGTAAATGAATAGAATAGATGAGGGCATGCAGAAAACAGAAAGATATAGAGAAACGGTGGATTTTATTGTTAAAACAGTTACCAGTGAGGATTTGAGGATTGACATGTTGAGGGAAGCGTTCCTCTTCGGATAAGATTGACTCATTATCCGTAACTTCGTCGTCAGAATCATGTGATAAGTCCAAATCGTTATTACTTTCAGAAGATTCGTTTTCATCTCTCTTTGACTTTATACCTTTTATATAATTGTTATATTACTTTTTCAGAAAGTAAGAAAGAAAGAGAGATGGATGGAATCACAATGAGGGATGAAATAAGAAGAGTGATGAAAAGAAAAAATGAGGTGAAAAATAATTTAGAAAGAAAAAAGTGTAGGAAAAAAGTAAGAAGAAGAATGAACCAATGAAAGATAATGAATGAATTGAATAGAAAATGAGTATCTGAAGGAGAGACCAAGAAATAGATAAATTGTTTTTAATTGTTGAAACCGTTATTATTCAGGATTTCAGGTTTGGATCGTTCAGGCAAGCGTTTCTCTTTGGCCAGGATTGTCTCATCACCTGAAACTTCTTTGTCAGAATCGTGTGGATCCAAATCGTTATTGGATGTTGCGTTTTCATCTCCCATTGACTTAATACCTTTTAATGGAATTAACATATTACCTTTTCAGAATGCATGAGAGTCTAGACATTTGTAGGGTTGAAATTGTTACCTTTTGCTATTTGATGTTGGAAATTTTTATGAACTCGTTTATCTGGGGCTAAAGTTATCATCTCAGTAATTTTTGGCTTACCTTCTTTGAATAAAGACTTTGCATTATTTTAGATGATAAAGTAAAAACGTAAATAACAAAAAAGGGGCGGAATTGGGAGTATAAGAAAGTTAAAATATGAAAAGAGTGCAGTCAATTTGTTCATTAGCACAAAATAGTTACCTTTCAATATTTTAGGATGGGAAACTTTAGTCACTCGTTTATCCAGGGTTAAATCAGTTCGTTGTTCTTTCTTTGCGCAATCGTAATTTTTTTTACTGTTTAATACTCCTTTTTCAGTTTTTTTGGACTTATCGTCTTTAAATAGAAATTATTATTATTTTATTACTTAAATTATATTATTAATATGAAAAAATAATGATTGAGACAATTAATAAAATAAGACAAGATCGAAAAAAAGTGTAAGACATTAAGTAAGAAAACTGCAATAAAAGACTGGGAAGTATCAGAAAGAGTCAAGAGAGAGAGGGAAACAATAAAAGAAAAAAGGAAAGGAGAATGAAATAAATAAAAGAGAGAAGTAGAGATAGGACAAAAGAAAAAATAAAGGTGGTGATGAGAGAGGGAGAATAGAGAAATGATAGAAGGAAAGATGCAAAGGAAAAGTGTGCGATATACGATATTAAAGATAAAGATGATGAAAGTCCAGGGAAAGAGATAAAGACAGCAAGTAAAAGGTAAAAGAAAGAAATGGGATCAGAAAGAGGAATGGAATATAAAGAGTGATGAAAAGAAAAAATGAGGTAAAGAATAGTTTAAAAATGATAAAGTATGAAAAAAGAAAGAAGGAGAATCAAAGATAATGAATAGAATAGAAAATGAATGTCTGCAGGAAAGAGCAAGGAATAAATAAATTGTCTGATTTTTTTGTTCAAACTTCAAACAGTTACCATTTAGAAATTTAGGTTTGGATTGTTCAGGCAAGCGTCTCTCTTTGGCCAGGACTGTCTTCGCATGTGAATCTTCCATGTAAGAATCGTGTGGGATGGTGTTTAAAAGTTTTTTATCTTCCCTTTTTGACTTATTGTCTTTGAAGATAATTGTAATATTAATATTATTTTTTCTTAATATGTTAAGATTTAGTGCCTACTCCAAATAGTAGGTATCTTATTAAAAGATAAACTTGTAGTCACTTTCAAAATGTAATAAATAAAGTTATTAAAGATTTAAGATAGATACGAAAGTTTATTTAATATTATTAAAAGTGACTAGAGTGAACTTTAAAATACTTCCTTTTGCGGTAACAGTTATTCAAACTTAACTGTCATGAAAGACGATTTAAAATAATTTTTTTTTGCTTTATTAAAGATCTTTTTTCGTTAATTTTACTAGTAAAATAAAAATAAAATAAACAATGATTAAGAGAGATATAAAAAGGTAAAAGTGAACAAGAAATTATAAAATAGAATAAAAAAAAGAAAAATTTGTTTCTAAGGATAAAATAGTTACTTTTCGGTATTTTAGGCTGGGAAACTTTTGACACTCGTTTATCCAGGATTGACGTAATTTGTTGATCTTCTGAATTTTCGCTGCCGAAATTTTGTGGTATAATATATTCCTTTTTATTATCCAGTTGTCCTATTCCAGTTTTTTTTGACATATCGTCTTTAAATATAAAATTAGATTATTTTACATGAAACAAGGATGAATGAGAAAATAGTGGGATAAAAATATGTCGTTTAAAAGTAAAATCCCTTCATACCCAGATATTAAGAATATTCTACGGACGTTATGGGGATAGCCTATAAGAATACGGATTTTGGTAGGGTATAATAAAAGAGAATTTTTGGATATTTTTTAAAAAAAAATGTCAAACGGAAAAGTCGTCAAATTGACCAATATATGGCCTCGTAAGCGATATATGTGTTAAGGGTAGTTTTAGGGGTTCAAGCGAGTTATACTGAATATGAATTTTGGTAGGGGGTAAAAAAGAAAATTTTTTGATATTTTTTTAGAAAAAAAGAACAAAAAAATTGTCAAATTCTTAATTTTTATGTATTTAATCATAATGGGAGTTGTTTTTACCCTATTTTTTAAAAATGTCAATTTTTTATTATTAATATTGTAGTTTGGCACCAGTCTAAATATTTTCTAAAAGTTTTTTTTTTAATTTTTTTTGTTCGGCGAACGTTTTGCATGTTTGTATTAGTGGTAACGAAAAATAATAAAGAAGAAATGAGTAAAAAAATGTAATTAATGAAAGAAAAAAAAGAAAGAGTAAATGTGTAAGAAAGTGACTTAAAAAAGGAAAAAGAGGACCAGAAAATCAAGGGAGAGAAGAGAACCTAAGAAGGAGAAAAAGAGAAAACATAAATTAAAGTAAAATAATATATTAGAAAATAAGTGGGTAAAAAAGTAAATATAAAAAAGATAGCAGAAGAGATAAGAGTGAGGGAGGGAGGGTAAATTAAAAAAAGGAAGGGCATAAGAAAATAAATATGTAAAAGAGGAAATTGAGGAAAGAAATTAAATCAGAAAGAGCAAAAATATTCAGAAGAGATTGAGTAACAAAGAGATAATAAGAAGAGTTAGAGAGAAAAAAATGATAAAAAGAAGGAATGTAATAAATAAATCCAAGGTGTAGAGGTTAGAAATTGAAAAGAGAATAAGGGAAAAAGTTACGTGAAGTATAGTTTTAAAAGAATATAAAATTGACATAAATATTACTCTTTTCCTTAGAGCTTTTGGTTGCATCTACCACATCAGCAAATGAACCTAATTGAAAAATTTTATTGTTCATTTCATTTTCAACAGCGTTTCGTCGCTTCTTTTTATTTGTCTCATCTGAGTTGACATTTCGTTTGGAAACATTTCTTGATAAACTTTCCTTGTTCAATATTTTCCCCTCTCTAGAAACTTCCATCTTCTTCAGTTGGTTTTTATTTTCTATATTCATTATAATTATAAAATTAGAGGTATAAAAATTCATCCTTCATATTAAAAGCAGGGGTTAGAAGTAAAATATTTTTTCAAATATATATTTAAAAAAAAATAATATTAATATTTATTGATAATTAAATTAATTAATTCATAATAATTAAAAATTAATAATTAATGAAAGCAGAGGTTAGAAGCAAAATATTTTTTAAAAATCAATATTATGTAAATTATTTAAAAAATAATATTAATATTTATTAATAATTTAATTAATTAATAATAATTAATAAATTAATATTTAATTAATAATTTAATTAATCCTTAATATTTATTTTATTTACATTATTTAAAATATTTTTCAAAATTTTTAATGATTCTATTAATTTTCTTTTTCAAATAATCAAAAAATTTCATTTTCTTCAAATTAAAACTTATTGAAATTAGTTTAAAAAAATTAGAAAAAAGTTTATACGTTATATGTTTATTGTTTGTGAAGAAAAAACAGTTACCACTTCTTGCTAATAGTATAATTTTATATGACGTTCCTTTTACAACAAGGTCGGTTTCCTTTCCTTCACCAATATTTACTAATTCTTTTTGTTCTTCGATTACACTAAATGATTTTTCTTCTTTCCAGAATACTAAACAATAAATATTCTTTTTGGTCGACATTTTTGTTGTGCAATGACTACGATCAACTTTAACTCTAAATTGACACATCAATAATCTGAATTTTGTCACATAAAACAATTGTTATAAAAATTATTATAAAAAAATATTTTAAATACTTCGAATTTATTTACATGAAATCATATTTTTTAAATAATTTTGTTTAATTAAAAAAATTTGTAATTTAACTACTAAGAAAAAGGTTTAGTTTAAAAACATTAATATACATAAATTATATTAAATACACATAAATTAAAATATTTGATTCTAAAATTTGTTTTTTTATCGCTTGTTTTTTGCAATTGGAAGTTAAAGTTTTTAGTATGCTTAATATATCAAAACTGAAATTTCAATTTGTGTCATTTGAATGTTATTTTCATACAAGTTTGTTTTATTCAATTCAAAATAAAAAAAGAAAATTTGAATATTATTTCAAATATAAAATATGAAAATAAATTAATTTAAAAAAAATTGTAAATAAAATTTTTTATTGATAATATTGTGAAATGAGTCAATACAAGGATTTTGAAAATTATTCTCTTTCCACACAGAGAAGGATTTTACAAGCTCTTCAACATAATGAAGAAAATAATTTATTTATGTCAACTGATTCAGTTAGTTAATTTGATATTTATTACCAATTTTTCACAAGTGTATAATATACGTGTTAAATTGTTTAAAAAAATATATATATAATTTATGTAAAAATTTTTATTTTTGATAAAATTTTTTTTCTTACGTATTTTATTTTTTTTAAATTTAATTAATTAGCAAATAATTATCAAATAACTGATAGCATTTCACAAATTTTATGAGCTTTAAATTACCGTTCCCCGACGTTTTTCCTAATCCATTTTTCCTAATGATATATTCCTAACAACTGTTTTTCCTAATATAACCTTTTTCCTAAAACAATTTTCCTAATGTCATTTTCCTAATTCAATTTTCCTAATAATATTTTCCTAAAGTATATATTTCCTAACAGAATTTGGAACAATATAATTTTGTCTAGTGTAATGAATGTAGTCCATTAAAACATTTGATTGTTTTTTAGTCAACAAATTTCGTGTCATTTAAACCAACCTGACAAATTATATGTGTTCAAAGTTTATCGAAACTCAAAATTAAATTATAAAAGTTAAAAGTTTATCAAAATTAATAGTTAAAATCAACAACAATATTGTTGACAATTACGAAACTTATAAGGAGGAAAATAGAATTTTCAAATATCTCGAAACTTTGGCTCACACTATTGTTATCTAAATTTCATTACTAATAACCGAAACAATAAAGCAGCATTTCAGAACTTTGCTCACTTTCATTTGGAATTTAAATAATTTGGAACTTAGAAAAAATTAATAGCTTTAGGAAAAAATTAATAGCATTAGGAAATTTAGATTAGGAAAAAAGTATTAGGAATTTGCTTTTTCGGAAACAGTACTTTAGGAAAATAAAAAATTAGGAAAAACAGATTAGGAAAATAGGTAGGGAATCTTAAATTACATAACTTTGTTTAATAAAGAATAAAACCAAATGTTAATTATTGGTTTTTTATTGTTTTCAGCTACTTAGTGTTAAATAAACTTTACGTTAATTATTGCTATTTTTGTACTAGGACGAAAAAAAGAAAAGTATGACTATAAATTAAAAATCTCTCTGATTTTTTAAGTTAAGAATTAATGTGGGATATATTCTTGTAATAATAAAATAAACTATGTAATAGGAGTCTAATAATGACGATGAAGAAGATATGCAATCTTTGGAAGAAGAAAAAATAAACTTTTTGGACGAAGAAAATCAGATTGACAGTGATTATAGAGATTCAGATAATAATGATTACATTGATACAGAAGATGACGAATATGATGATCAGTCTAATGATGGTGAAATATTTTTCGATAATTTACTAATTTTTTTATTTGAAAAATAATTTAATATTCAATACTTATAGTTACAATATTCATATAATTGAGAAAGAATCTTCTTCAAAGCTTATGATTAAAAAATAATAGAAAACTTTTCTTGGATAAGAAATAATTCTAAACAAATTTTGCGGCCAATTCGGGATAGAATAATTTTTTCAATCATTTTTAAAATCGATAAAGGGGTTAGGCCATCTTAGAGCATGGAAAAAATATACATATTTTGCAAATCTTTTTACAGTGAGTAAGAGACATTTTGGTAAAAAGTAATTAATTATACTTTATAATAACTGTATTTTTTAAATTGTTTAATTTCATGCATATTTTCCTCTTTAACCCCTTTGGTTAGTAATGCTCGCTGGTTAGAAATACGCGGCTCTATTCAAATAATGGTGCAATATGAAATATTTTATTTAAACTTTTTTTGATTTAAAATCTTACAACACATTTCTTTGTTTCCTTCATATATCTTTTCCAAATTATTTTACAGTATCTTTCTTATAATTTTTTTTGTATTTGTGCTTTGATGTCTAGTTAACCCTTTCAGTTCCAGTGGTCGATATATCGACTACCTTTTATGCCATCAATTTTTATCAAAATAACTTAAAGCAAAAATTTAAACAATTATATATTTTTCATTTTTATGTTTCCATAATTAAAATTTAGGAGTTTTGTAACAAATTAATGTATATTATTTTTTTATTATTAACAAATATATATACGGCAACGCATCATTTCAGGTTAAACTTTATTGTAATACAATTCAATTATTAACATATAATCATGGGTATTTTTAAAAATTTTAAATTGCTTAGATTTAGAAAGGGCTGTTTTAAAAATGTTGCGTCTTAAATTAGACACCTTTTCTGTCTTAAAATAAGACTTTCTTTTTAATTACGAATCTGAAACCAGATAAGCAAATTCAAAATGTCGGATCCAGTATGGCTAAAGATGAAATTAAAAATTAAACAAATTTGCTTAAAAGTTGTCACACAGGGGTTTTTGAGTCGCAGAATACGAATCTAAAAATCATTTTTTTAAATTTTAAATGTAGGATTTAATATCTCGCTGTTGCTGATTCTAAAAATGTAATCCGTTATGGAAAATTCAAATTAAGGGATCAAAATGGCGAAAAAGTTTTTAAAAAATTATCTGATTCATTTAAAATTTGTCACTCGAGGATTTCAAGGTCGCCAGTACAGCAAATAGATATCCCTCGGATATATCGAAAAAATCATATATATCCCGCAGATATGTCCACTGTATATATTAGGGATCGTTCACATATTACGTCACGCTATTTTTCATTATTTTTTAACCCCCCCTCCCCCACATCACACACTATTCTATACATTAGCGCCATTTTTTCTACAGGTCGTCACACATTCAACAGACCCCTCCCCCCACTAAGCGTGTGACGTAATATGTGAACGATCCCTTAGATCTCTCTGGGATATCTCTGAGATATCAAAAGTTCCCTCTATTAAGAAGTCTTTAACATTGCCAAACGTCGGGCCAACCATGGCCCAGAGTTTAGCCAACCAATTTATTCTATGCCGTTTAAAATATGTTTCGTGAAGTTTTGTCAAATATCGGGCCAACCATGGCCCAGTGTTAGCCGAAGAGTTTATTCTATGCCGTTTCAAATACGTTTTAAGAAGTTTTTTCAAACATCGGGCCAACCATGGCCCAGAGTTTAGTCACCCAATTTATATCAAGTCGTTTAAAATACGTTTCAAAAAGTTTTGCCAAACGTCGGGCCAACCATGGCCCAGAGTTTAGTCACCCAATTTATTTCAAGTCGTTTAAAATACGTTTTAAGAAGTTTTGCCAAACGTCGGGCCAACCATGGCCCAGAGTTTAGCCAGACAATTTATTTCAAGTAGTTTAAAATATGTTTCAAGAAGTTTTGCCAAACTTTGGGCTAAACATGGCCCAGAGTTTAGCCGAAGAGTTTATTCTATGCCGTTTAAAATACGTTTCGTGAAGTTTTGCCGAACGTTGGTCCAACCACGGCCCAGAGTTTAGCCGGAGAGTTTATTCTATTCCGTTTAAATACGTTTCGAGAAACTTTGCCAAAGTTCTGGCCAACCATGTCCCAGTGTTTAGCCAAAGAGTTTATTCTATGCCGTTTAAAATACGTTTTGAGAAGTTTTGCCGACCGTTGTTATAAACGAAAGTAATAAATTTCTGCCTACCCCCCTCCTCCTTAACATTAATGAAGCATTCTAATTTAATTACAAATAAAATTGTAAAACTGGATTGTCATAGAATTAATTGATTATTAATTCGCAGATGATTCTGATATTTACTTCGAGGCGAATGAAAATATGTCAATTAGTAATGATGGTGATTCTGATGATAGAATGGAAGAAAATAAAGCTAATAATATTGTTTTTAATCAAGATGTAGAAGACTCAGAAGATTCAGAAGACTCCGAAAGCTCCGAAGATTTTGATGATCCAGAAGATCCAGAAGATCCTGAAGATCCAGATGAAAATCAAAATGGTCCTTTATATGAAGGAGCACGAATAACTCACGCGGAAAGTATGTTGTCAATTCTTGCACTGGTTTTGCGGTTTTCTTTAACAGGTGTACTTTTGGTAAACATTTTAACTTTGATAGAATTGCATTGTCCTGTACCAAATAATTGCCCAACATCATTATACATGTTTAAAAGATACTTCGAAAATTTGCAAACTCCTTTAAAACGACATTTTTACTGTAGCAATTGTTTCCATGGATTAGAAAATGAAAATGAACAATGTCCTAATTGTTTAGCCTCAACAGATGCGAAATATTTTATGACAATGTCAATTAAAGAACAGCTTCGAGCTCTTTACAAACGACATGGTTTTCTCCAAAAACTAAGTTATCGGTTTAATCGAGCGAAAAAAGTGCAAGAAAATATTGAGGATATTTATGATGGGAGTATTTATCAAGAATTAAGTTCTGCAGGTCACCTACTCCATAATCCTAACAATATATCATTCACCTGGTACACAGATGGAATTCCTATTTTTAAATCATCAAAATTTTCAATGTGGCCAGTTTACTTTGTTATAAACGAATTACCTTACGAAGAA